CGTTTGAAATATCTATATATATAAATTCCAAATATATTAGCCATGACTTGCATGGTTATAAAAAAAAAAACCATCTCTGCAAAGAAGAGCACATGGACTTTGCAATAACTAAGCAAACACTATATATCTCCACAACTTTGAAATTTAGAATTTAAGATTAGATAGAAAAGTTCTCCTGATATTAAAAGTTGCTTCCATGTTTTATCTTGTCTATCAAACCACACATGTCATATCATATATTCACAATATTCTAAGTACGAGTGCATCTAATTGCTCCATCCATTCTCTTCTCTCTTGTCATTTTCAGTCACCATCCTTTGACCTTCTCTTACAAGAACAATTAATACATTCGCTTTGATACATATATAAGTGTTATTCAGTGTATAACCGATATTATAATTAAGTATACAAACTGTAGGATCTACCATGCTTCTTACATGTTTCTTTTTCTAAAGATTTTCACCTCTATGTTCAAACTTAAAAGCTTAATTTGAGCATTTGGTAACATAATTTTTTGTTCAACTTTATATATATATATATATATATATATATATATATATATATATAAATATGTGGTGCTACACTTTAAAACATGTAAGATTTTGTGAAAACTTACTTTCCTATGTCAAGTTTAAAGTATAATTAACAAAGTGAGCTATTTCACTTTATACTTTTTAAGTTCATAAAATTAAATTTTAAACCATTTTAAATTGCTTGAAAAATGTGATACTAACATACATCATTATATGATGGCGGTAACCATGAATATAACATTGATTACCCAACCTTTGACGTTTCTGTTCTTATCATACCATGGCAACCATGAGACAAGCAGGCCCGTGGCTATGTGGATAATAAAGAAACATTCGCTTCCGGCCAATTATTTTGGAAAAAAATTTAAGGCCTTCATTTTCATATATATTTTAATTATATTAGGCCCAATAAAAAACATTGTTGTGTTGTACTTGTAAAAGAAAGAAAAAAGTCACGATGGGTTTTAAAAAAACCAGATTTAAACATATATTATGAATTAAATTAGAAACTAAAATTAAAATAAATTAGGGCAACTAAGAGACTAACTTTTCACATTCTTCTCACGTCTTTTTGCCTGCCATTTCTCACGTCTTAAGTTTTTTTCTTCTTCTTTATTGATTGCCATCAACAATCACAATTCATAAGTAAGTTTCTTTAGTAATTAGTCTTACAGTTTTTTTTAAAAAAATAAATTTTAGAGAGGGATTTCAAATTCATAATTGATTTGGATTAGGTAAGGAACGTAATGTTTAGAAGAAAAATTGTGATTTGTAGTGCTTTTTACCAAATGAAACTAAAAGGCCAATTGAAGTGTTAGAATATTTGAAAAAGGTTGAAGATTGTTACGACTATAGTTTCAGTTTCATCTGTTGAAAAAAGTTTTTGAAAGTTGAAGTTAATAAAATCTTATCTTCGATCGAGATGTCACAAGAAAAATGGAACGATTTGGCTTTTTTTTATCTATTGAAAGGAAATTGGTTAAAAACGTTGATTTTGAGAGCTTGGTTATTGATTTTATAACACAAAAAGAAGAAAAGTTACGTTTTAGAATTAATATTCTGGTTTTACTCTTGTTTTATTTATTTGGACTATGTTGGTTATTACTTTAAAGCTTATTTGGACTATGTTGGGGAAGAATGAGTCTCCATAATACTTATTTGAAGTGTGCAACTGTCTCTATATGGAATTTATTTATCAAAACGGGGAAGAATGAGTCTCCATCCTTAGTTCTGATTTGATTATTGGGTATGAGCAAGAATCTTTTCTAATTCGTGTCATGTTTTTTGATGGCGAGTGAAGAACTTAAAACGACAATACCACTAAAATTTCCAACTTTGCAGTTTACGAAGCAAGCCTATAGACTGTATTGTTATTGTCAAACAATTTTATAGTTCCACAACTTTTTAATCTTAGTTTACGAAACACGATTCTCTCTTAGTTTTCTACTTTTCTGTGCTACACAACTTTTTAGTGGTGACAACAATGATTCATAAACTTATTGGATATAGTTTAAACAAAAATAATTGGAAGAGAGATGATAGCAAAGATTATCCCACATCATATGCATAACAATGTCAAAGAGATTCTATTCAATTAGAATTCTCTGTGAACTTCTAATCCGCCACTTGCCAGATTGATAGTGAAGAACCCGTCTTTATCACCGACATGGACGTGGTTAGGCCTATAGTTGTCGGAGGGTTCTTCAGCTGCAGGTTCACAAGAAATACCATCTCGTGAGAGGAAAATGAAGAGATCTCGAATGTCTTGAGTGTAAATAGCGTTTCCTTTATGGTCTAGCCTGAACACCATTACACCTTTTGTTTTCATGATCTTTCCAGAGGTCTTCTTGTACCACTTAACCAAGAAAGTTTCATCGGTTGATTGTGACTCCACCAAGAATACGCTCGCCCAGGAAGATTCCAGAAGCTCGCGTTGGGTCCTGGTCCGCTCGGGAAGGTTTTGGAGCTGCAACCTCTGAATCTTCGGTGGTGTTTGCTTGTGTGTGTGGAGATCCCATGATCCGATAATGTGGCCTCCAGATCCAGGAATACGAAACATGCCATCTTTCTTGGAAAACATGACTTTGGAGGAGTAGAAGCAAGGGTTTTCGATTCTAACGTTGGTCCACCCAAATTTACTTTGAGCAGGTCTGAAAAAGCTGAGTTGAGGTCCCAAAAACTTGACAGCCACAACACAGTCCTCGTCGTCAAGAGGAGAAGATGCTACCACGTTGGTGACAATTTGAGTTTGGCAACGAGGTAAAGTTACAAAAGGAGGCGACGAAAAGTGTTTCGGTTCTCCTGAATCCCACATAGAATCAATGAAACGCAAAATTCCGTCGTCACTGTAAGTAGCTAACCAGCCAAGGTATGCTAGCCAATCTATTTTATGTCTACCCACAGGCACCTTCTTTTCCAAAGAAGTGTGGCGAGATTTAGGAACATTACTAACCTTCAGTCCACAACCGTGGATGGAACATGGAAGGGTTCGCAGTGAGGAAGATGGGAAGCCACTAGAGAGAAAAAGAGATGACCTCATCGACGTAGGTTTGCCTAGGCACAACATCGAAGGCTTGTTGAGGAGCAGAGACATAATGATTAATAATGATCGATCTTATCGAAAAGCAAGAGATTTTGGGTTTAAAAAAAAAAAAAACCCTAATTGAAGAACCGTTGTGATGATCACCTTTTAGACGCTTCATTATTAATACAGAGCAAATGGACTTGCTCACCAAGTTTCCCGTCTCCACATTAGGTAAGGTCAGACATATTATTCTCTCTCTCGGAGACGTATCGTCCCCAAACCGATTTTTTTTTTGTAACATCAGAACTATACCGATTTATTTGATGTAAAAATCAAAGGAATCTTTAACGTAAGCTTCCCATGGGTTAACCGATAAATTTCTAAACCAATATTGATCAGTTTACCAAATAAATCAATCGTATATATGTTATTAAATTCTGCAGATTCTTAGCTTCTGTTTTAGGAAATTTAAACTCTTCTAAATCCTAAATGTACGTGTAAATGACAGCAGAAACTAGGGGTGGCCGGGTGGGTACATCTAGAGTTTTTTTGGTTTCAAAGGCACGACACCATAACTAATTTAGGGTGTGTTTAGTAATGGATCGTACGTGAAGATAATCACAATCAAGAAGTTTCTTCAAGTACGTGAAGATTCTCAATAACCAATCAGATATTTCTTAAGTATGGGCTTTAAGATAACCCCCACTCAACCTTTTACACCGATGTATCGTACTCTCTCGACCAGTTTTTTGGGCTGCTGAAAGTTTAAGTACCAGTTCAATCTGAGGCTGATCAATGCGAATACGCGGATGATTATTTTGTTACGAGGTAATTAAGCCTGAGCTTATGCCACCAGGCCCACCACTAAAACCTTTTGTGTACCAGAGACCGCCAGGAATCATGAGTCAGATCGAGAGACAGGAGAAGAGGCTGTTGGCTATATGGAGGGCCAGAAATACTGAGAGTGAGAGGAATGGAGAGACAAAAGAAGAAGCTGGACCGGGTTCATGGTAATTGGTAAGCATGTTAGAGATGGTTTAGGTTTCGTTTACTAGAACTACGTTCCCGTTTCAATTTCCTTTGTTTTTATATGATGGCTTTATTTTATATTCAGTGCCGGCGTTTGGGGTGTTCAAGTGGAGCAATTGTTCCGGGTCCAATTTTTTTGGGTAAATTTAAGGGTCTAAATTTTTTTTTCCGTATAGAAAAAAATGTAATTTTTAAAACTTTAAGATATCTTTATTATAAAAAAAGCCTAAATATTTTATTTAGTATGAAAGTGGTTAATTTTTAAGTTTTTTTAACATGAAAAAGACCCAATTTTTTTTTTTTTGTATGAAAAAGGGCCAATTTTTAAGATTTGTACCGGGACTCAAAATTAATTGAGCCGGCCCTGTTTATATTCCAATAATCCATTAATCAGTTATCTTGAGTAAATGAATAGAATCATGCCATGCAAGCATAAACGCCATGTAGACACAATTAGGAATGTTAATCTAGATGTATTTTGTCAAGAACCCCTTAGAGCATCTCCAAAGGGGGGGGTTTCTCCTCTTAAATGTAGGGTTCTCTGTTTTAATGGTAATAAAAATTAATGTTTTTCATTCAACATTAATTTTCTTTCTATGTTTGTTTTGTTTTTTCCTAAAAAATGATTACAATTCTCTAATAGTTTTTTTACATATTGATTCTTTTTCTTTGTATCATCGGATATCTTGTTTTTTTTCGTTCTTTTTCTCAAAATTGTTTTGACATATATTTCTATAAAATATCATAAATCAAAATAAAATATAATATTTAATATTAATATGTAATTAAATAAAAATAATAATATATATGACCTCTATAAACAAAAATTCTGGCTCCGCCATTTGGTGGTGCTCTCTTAACACGAAAATACCACTAAAATTTCCAACTTTGCAGTTTACGAAGCAAGCCTATTATTATTGTCAAAAAACTTTAATTTATAGTTCCACAACTTTCTAATCTTAGTTTACGAAACACAACAACTAGTTACCGCCTTCCAAGATCGATTTAATATTCACAAAAAAAAATAGAAAAGTTATATATCTGAGGCATTAATCAAAAGAGGGAAAACACGGGTTCTCTCTTAGTTTAGTTTTCTACTTTTCTGTGCTACACAACTTTTTAATGGTGACAACAATGATTCATAAACTTATTGGATATAGTTTAAACAAAAATAATTGGAAGAGAGATGATAGCAAAGATTATCCCACATCATATGCATAACAATGTCAAAGAGATTCTATTCAATTAGAATTCTCTGTGAACTTCTAATCCGCCACTTGCCAGATTGATAGTGAAGAACCCGTCTTTATCACCGACATGGACGTGGTTAGGCCTATAGTTGTAGGAGGGTTCTTCAGCTGCAGGTCTACAATAAATACCATCTCGTGAGAGGAAAATGAAGAGATCTCCAATGTCTTGAGTGTAAATAGCATTTCCTTTATGGTCTAGCCTGAACACCATTACACCTTTTGTTTTCATGATCTTTCCAGAGGTCTTCTTGTACCACTTAACCAAGAAAGTTTCATCGGTTGATTGTGACTCCACCAAGAATACGCTCGCCCAGGAAGATTCCAGAAGCTCGCGTTGGGTCCTGGTCCGCTCGGGAAGGTTTTGGAGCTGCAACCTCTGAATCTTCGGTGGTGTTTGCTTGTGTGTGTGGAGATCCCATGATCCGATAATGTGGCCTCCAGATCCAGGAATACGAAACATGCCATCTTTCTTGGAAAACATGACTTTGGAGGAGTAGAAGCAAGGGTTTTCGATTCTAACGTTGGTCCACCCAAATTTACTTTGAGCAGGTCTGAAAAAGCTGAGTTGAGGTCCCAAAAACTTGACAGCCACAACACAGTCCTCGTCGTCAAGAGGAGAAGATGCTACCACGTTGGTGACAATTTGAGTTTGGCAACGAGGTAAAGTTACAAAAGGAGGCGACGAAAAGTGTTTCGGTTCTCCTGAATCCCACATAGAATCAATGAAACGCAAAATTCCGTCGTCACTGTAAGTAGCTAACCAGCCAAGGTATGCTAGCCAATCTATTTTATGTCTACCCACAGGCACCTTCTTTTCCAAAGAAGTGTGGCGAGATTTAGGAACATTACTAACCTTCAGTCCACAACCGTGGATGGAACATGGAAGGGTTCGCAGTGAGGAAGATGGGAAGCCACTAGAGAGAAAAAGAGATGACCTCATCGACGCAGGTTTGCCTAGGCACAACATCGAAGGCTCGTTGAGAAGCAGAGACATGATGATGAATAATGATCGATCTTATCGAAAACAAGAGATTTAGGGAAAAAAAAAAAAAAAACCTAATTGAAGAATCGTTGTGATGATCACCTTTTAGACGCTACATTATTAATACAGAGGAAATAGACTTGCTCACCAAGTTTCCCGTCTCCAAATAAACATATTATTCTCTCTCTCGGAGACGTATCGTCCCCAAACCGCACCCAAACCGATTTTATTTTAAAGAAATTTTCACGTTTAGCATTGAAAAAAGATTTGGTCTCAGCTTTTGGCAAAGTGAGATTTCATAACGTTGATTTTGAGAGCTTGGTTATTGATTTTATAACACAAAAAGAAGAAAAGTTACGTTTTAGAATTAATATTCTGGTTTTACTCTTGTTTTATTTATTTGGACTATGTTGGTTATTACTTTAAAGCTTTTTTGTATTTGAATCAAGGCCCTTTTTTTAACACCGCTTCTGGTCCATACAATGCTAGGCACGGCTCTGGAGACAAGTGTTTTGCTTTAGTGGACTATATTTATTTTATGGAAATATTACAACATCCTTGTATTCCTCCAATAAAAAAACAGCTTAATTACGACGTTCTAATGATATTAATATTTAATTATTTAATTAATAGCAAAGAAAGTACATCTTAATTTTATTTTTTTGATAAAAGAATACATCTTAATTAATTACTTACTTTTTGGTAAAATTAATAACTTTCTTCATTAATAGTAAATTTCAATTACTTAATTAATAGCAAATAAAGAGGTCTAATTGATACTAAACAAAATAGATAGCTTTTAATGACTAAACAAACGATAAATAGCAATGATATTAAACCGAAAAGCTCCAAATAGCAAATAGCTATTAATTTATTAATAGCAAATAAATAGGTCTAATCGATACTAAACAAGACTAGATTTCCACCCGCGGTATACCGCATGACGATTTGTTTTTAAAATTAGTAATTTTTAAAATTTAATGGTTATATATTATATATATTAAAATTTGCAAATTGTATCATTTTATAAGATATTTATATTTTATAGTTTACAATTGTTATTAAGTAACGGTATACCACATAACAATTTTTCTTTTATACAATTTTCTTTGATCAGGATCATTCGATATGTCAAATATTGGTGGTGTTAAAAAAGTAATAAAATGAAGATTTCATATTAAAGCATCGGGTTAATGATGTTTAAAATTTTTTTGATTCAAACTCATCCCGTCATATAACCTCGTCCTGCAATATAACTCCATCCTACAATATAACCGTCCCATGTTATTTTAACTCTGTATATATGTTCAAATATTTCTTAATATTATAAACTTTTTATTGATTATATATATATAAATTATAATATTTAAAACTTCTTAAAAACTTGTCCCGTTATATAATCCAGTCTAGCAATATAACCCTCTCGTGTTATTGTAACTCTTTATATATGTTCAATTTCATAATATTATACACATTTTATTGATTTTAAATATAAGAATTATATTTATTTAAAACTTTTTAAAAGTTTAAAATTTAACATTTCTGCTAAAATTAAGTAGTTAAACTGAAAAAAGCGAATGAAACGGTATATAATTTTAAATTTGGATGCTTATTATGTTGAGCTTCTTGTTCATTCGGATTTGGATTCATTTTGATCTTATTTATAATATGATTCTGAATAAATATCTAAACACTTTAGCCGATATGGGATGTTGAACACACACTTTTTTCATCAATTGGGTAATATATATCCGTTTTAAAAAATTTCGAATCCCAATATATGCAGAAAAAATGAGATTTATTTTTAACTTTATGTATTATATGATGATTCAAAACAGTTAAAAAATATTCAAACAAAGATGATAGGAAAATTTTATTTTTAAATCTTAACCAAATCTTCTAAATATCTATATTTTTAAATATGGAATATCCGATTCATAATTTCGGATATGTTTTTATCCGATCCAAAAAAGATATAAAATATCCGGTGTAAGATTTATGAAGGAAATTTCTTATCGGGTCGGGTACCAAATTTGTCGGACAATAATTTAATATCACCCGCTAACAAATGTACTTCTAAAATACTAGTATAGATAAATAGCTTTTAATAATGATACTAAACAAAAGATAAATAGCAATGATATTAAACCCCAAAGCTCCAAATAGCAAATAGTAATTACTTAATTAATACGAAATAAATTGGTCTACTCGATACTAAACAAACGATAAATAGCAACGATACTTAAACCGAAAAGCTCCAAATAAACTAATTTTGTAACATTCCCACCGGCGAAGATACATGAAATTCTCAAATCATTTTCGAATCTAGAAAAGCAGAAACTCATTGAACTTACCCATTGCATGATTAAAAATGTTCCTAAACTGGATCTTAATTAGATCATCAACAGCTGCTGGTAAGCCATTTCGTTTCCTCCACCGTGCAATAAAATTGATAACTCTAGCTTTCTTTGGTGAATGTCATATTCTTTGTACATTCGTACTCTTTCACAACTTCACTTCTTTGCCTAGTCTCTACTACTGACTTGCAGTGTAAAACTACGACAATGACATTCGTTTGTTATAATGGGCTTAAAATTGGAAAAGAGAGGAAGAAGGAGATGGTGGATGATGGGGATAATGCATTGTTGAAAAGTAATACGAGTAACAGTGATTTATGGGTATGAGGATGTTGAGTCTATGTTCAACGATGCTGCTCCTAGCTAGTAAATACAATCTAGATGATGTAGATTTAAGCCGAGAGGACGATGATATATATGTCGGAGGCTCTTCATGAATAAGGCAGAGTTCAAGGTCGCCATGTCAATATATGCTATAAATAGGGTATTCCTGTTTAGATTCAATAAGGCAGAGTTCAATAGTCGTCATGGAAGAGATCACACAGTGGCGTTGTGTGTTTCGAAATGGTGTGATTGGAGGGTGTACGCGCATGAAGTTTGGAATTCGGCTCAATATGAGGTTAGGAAAGCACTCCTGACCTATGTGCGTGATGCTGACTCAAGGGGACAGTTCTCCAAACATGCTACATCAAAAGTAATCGCAGCTTTCATAAAACAGAATTATTGTAGACCACATGCCGGTCCACAGGCATGTGAACTCCAAGAGATGTTGCTAGGCGAACACAATGTCACTATTTCCTATTAAAAATGCTGGAAAGCTAAGGAGTTGGCTATAGCTTCGCGCAAGGGACCAACTATAGCCAAATGAATATGATATTAAAAAAAAATATCAGAAGTCATAAAATTTAGAGTAGTTAGACAAGAGATCCGTGATGTGAATTATTCACAGTGCTGTTTATAATAAAACACTGTCACTCTTGAAGAATTTGGGGATGCGTCAACTTCTTCAACAACTCTCAAAATGAATGTTAAATAAAATTATGTACACTATTATTGAGCTAAATAGATGCTAGATATTGAATTGTGTTGTTTGTCAGAAAAAACATGGAAAGCAACTTTTAACTTTTATATCAGTGAGAACTTTTTTTATTCCATCTTAAATTCGAAATTTCCAAACCATTGGAGTCGGAGATACTGTTTTTTGTGTTATTGCAAAGTCTTTTGCATGTTTTGGTGGATCTGTACTAATCAACAAAATTGGATGAATACATAGTAACACATAGTTATTTGATGAGCAACTAGCATGAATGAACACCTTTGAGCTAAGCAGATTGATCATCCTTCCAAATGAACATAACACAATCAATCATCGTTAAAAAAAAAAAAAATCTCTTCCATCAACGTTATGTAATTTCGTTCACCCATCACCAAATCCCGTTTCTTCCATTCTTCAACGAGCTCAAGAGCTGGTAGAGTTTTTCCATTTGTCACAAAAGCAGCGTTAGAAATCATTTAGCAAGAGGTTTGAGTGCCGAAAGAGATTTCCAAATGCAAGATGTGTTAGAGTTTCAGCATACCAATAAGTGTCGTGGTTGAAAAACAAAAGGAAAGACTCGAGATGTTTGATGTTTAACTGAGAAGAATAAAAATTCTAATTTTAAGATAATTATCAATTTTTAATCCGTTTCGTAAATTTTTTGTTGTTTTGATTAATTACTTTTTAAGGATAGTCTTGTTAATGCAGAATTATCAAGTTGTCTTTTTTTATATATTGTCAATTTTCATGGTAT